TCTTTTTATGTACCAGGTAGTGTATACATATATATATACAAATCAATAATAAATAACAGAGCCACAGTATAATTGAAAATTGAATGATTGTTTTATCTCTGGATGCAACATTCTACTTAATTGTGTCTATAGATTAATGTTTCTCATATTCATAATGTCTCTTATTTATTCTATCATGCTAGATTTGTCTAAAACCAGCAAAATAGAATATTAACTGTTTGCTGACAACTTATTTAGAGCACTGTTTTAAAATCTAGTTCAAAATACATGCTTGCATAGAAGATATATAAAAATAAATATTTAAGAAGATAAAAGAACTTTGTGTCTTTTGAATACTTAATTTCATTTACTAGTTTGGTATATTTCCAGATATAAAATCCAAACAAGAATATACACTGTTTAAAAGAACTAAAGTAGGCCAAATGAAGAAGCCAATGTGAATGCAAACAACATACCTTCTTCAATATTCAGAGTAGAGAGTCTACATGATGCATAAAATTACAGTTTCATTATACAGTCCCTCTCGTTGCTCTTGACATTTTGTGGAGTTTGGCAGTAGCATCACCTGCAGAACATGGGAAGAGGTCTTGCGAGACTGGAGGATGGGATGGGGGCTTAGATCCTGTAGCCATCCTCCGATCAGTAATGAGAATCTGCCCCTGGCAGTGCCAGATATGGATAAGGCCATAGCTATGCCTCCGTCAACGCCCTCACCTTATCTATGTCTAACCATGTACCACCTAATATTCACATCCAGGGCCTGAGCTGTGACCAGCAGTGCGCTGTTGTCACTATCTTCTCACTGGCCAAAGCAAACCAGGGAACAGTATGAGACGCACGTCCAGGTAAAAAGCAGAGAAAGGGCACAGAACAAAGAAACCACACCTTACAACGTAACACAGCTAGGCGCCTATCATTCTAGGAAAAGGAGTGAATCATAAGAATGTTAAACTTAACACGTTTATTTTAGATTGTAATTTAAAAATATTAATAATCCTTGGATTTTAATTCTATATTCTTTAGATTCTGATTCTAAAGCATCTGGAATACCTCAGCTAACCCTACAATATATATATTTCAGATATATTTCAGTCATTGTGTATTTCAAGCTGTTATAAGCTAACGGTGAGCAAAAATCAGTGTAGTTCTTGCAAAATAGTTACAACATTCTGTTCTCAACAGAGAATTGGAATATTTGCAAAGCAGTCTTCCAGATGGAGAAAGTAAAAAAAAAAAAAAAGTGGAGGAAGAAGTAAATACTTATGGTAAACGTAATTGGAAAAAAACTCTCAGAAAGTTTTTCCTGAAGGTTGATAGAATCTATTCTTCACAGTGAAATCAGAAGCTTTTTCACTTATAAGCACAAAAAAATGTCATTTTAACTAACAAAAAACCTTTATCTCCTTCTTTTTATGTTGCAAATTTCCTAGCTGCTGATCACTTAGCGTTAATCCTCATGTTATATGATTAGCAGAACCAAAGTCCTTCACTATTTTGGGTAACAACACCATGTAGAAATGCGCGCTGAAAAATTTCTGAGCCAGAAGACTGAGGTTCAAAAGGAGTAACATCATCTCAGATAGGTATTTGAATAAAAATATTGAACTTGTAAACTACAGGATTAAGTCTTACTTGTATCCAGCCATATGGGACTTGAAAGATGCTAAGAATGTTTTTAAATGTCCTAAAATTGAGGTTTTTTTTTAATAGAGGAATTTATGATGAATAATTGGTATATCTTATTGTCCTCTGGAATGTGTAGCATTACTCTGTATGAAATAAACCTTTCCTTCATATAAGAACCAATAAATCCAGAAGGCCATAAAATATAAAACATTGAAAAAAAACAAAATGAATTTTGCTTTTATTGAACTTTCTGTCAACTGTATTTCTGGAAGAATTGGCAGGGTATTGTGGCAAAGTCATGGGGGGGAAAAATACTTCTTACTAATTCAGTAATTTGAAAGTATTCATGAGATGCAGGTTAGAGATGGATTAATGGAGAAAGGACAGTAGGACTAAATGGCCTATGAAAACTTTACTTATAGCACAAAACAAAATTACAAATAAAAAGACTGTCCAAATCATTATTCTACTCAAATTTCAAGTCCAATATTTTCACTGTTTCTTAACCAAAGTATCTATAATTAATCTAGTCTTTTTTTTTTTAAGATATGTTAAAAAAAATAATTCCTATACAAATGTTAATTACAGCATTGCATTATGGTCAAATATAGTCCAATTAAATAAATTGATACGCATCAAGTTTGAAATCCTGGTCTAGTCAAAAGGGAGATTTTTGTATTCATGAATTTGGAAGAGGCTTCAAATTAACCATTTTTAGGATTATTCCTGCAATTAATTTGAGAATTTTTCTTAAATTGTAGCTAGAATTTTCAAAGATACTGCAGAATGGTACATCTCACTGAGGTTTAGAGTTAGTGTCTAACTCGTATGGGGACTTTAAAATTCCAATCTGTAGATAATAGAGATTTTTGTCGATAGCGATTTTGTAGATTCGTAGGCTTGAAATACACGACTGAAATATATCTGATTTGTAGGATACCTGGTGACATCTTGAAAAGCAAAACCCTAAGAGTTACTTCATCAAAAAGACCTACACATTAGCAAGGAAATTATATTTTTACCTGGGAAAAGAACTCATTAACTGAGTTAGAAGTCTAAACACTTAAGGTAGTTTTTACAAAGAACAGCTGAATGGCATTTGTGTGAGTGCTGCTTAAGGAAATCCATACATATAACCATTTCAGGGCAGCAATCATGGTAATTGAATATACAGTTTGAAAGAACTGAGAAGAGGAGGGGGAAAGAGTCAAACAACATCTACAAAACTGGGAATATTGAGTTTGATCTGTAGCTGTAAGATTTCTGGGAATTTCTGATGAAGAACTAGTAATTATTAAAAAAAACTTCATAGAGTGTGGGATTACTTCCAATGAAAAAATGATTGCACTTGTGGAATAAGCACACTGAATTTGACAACACAATGTAAACTGTCAGGTTGCAATTATTTATTTCACCTGTTGTTTAAAATAATGGAGTTTGCACTCATGTCCCAGATTAATTTAATGTATTTTATTTCATCTAGCTTTTGCTGTATTTTGATAATTCTGTTTATACTTCTACATTATAAATGTGAGTTTGTTCTCATTTCCTTTATATACTCCTGTTTTCTGTTGCACAAAGCTCAAATGAACAAAAAAAGAAACATTCTCCATTCAAATTTCAAGTACCATGCAAGAATTTTACTAACAAAAGGCCTTCTTCTTGTAGTCTCTGTGAATGTATTTTCTTAGTCATTTGCACATTTAATTTTACTTTACACAAACGTATTTTAATGACACATTTAAAACTGTTAGCATCTGTCTTACATATGCATAAATCTATAGAAAGTAAGCAAGGCAAAGAGCTGGATTCACAGACATTTGTGCACTTGAATAAAGAGAGGCCTCAGTTATAAATTTTCAGTGGAAAACCATAATTTGTTACATTTCTCAGCATTAGTCCTTAGTTAGACATAGAATTTGTTTTATTTTCAGGACATGCCAAAAACCGAATAAATAAATAAAACTAAGTTTTAGATAAACTTAGCTTTTGAAAACCATTTATGTATTTCTTGAACAATCCTGGCTTCATTTTTGATGGGTATATTATTTTATTTTGGCATTAGAAACATTAGACTTGGGTAAGGAAGACATAAATCAGCATAGCATTCTATCTTGGGTAGAATAATTAACAGAATCTTCACAAAAGATAAGTGTTCCACAAATATATTACCTTAATGAAATAGCAAAGATACCATCATTGTTTCAGGACTCTTCTTCATGGAGCTAAAGATACTTAATAAGGCAGGCAGAGAGCAAACTGCCAATTTAGTACAATTTAACAGTCCCCTGGATATACTGAGGACAAATTTGACCACTGTGTCATGCAGAGCAGCCTGATTACTGTATTTCTTCATTCCCGTGCCAAATCCTAAAAGTTATTGCATTACTCACAAGCTGCAAGAAGATAGTGCATTCAGCCCACACAAGTAGCACAAGATTTCGGATCTTCTGGGAGGATTCTGTCATGTACTACAATAATGGATAATTTTTTTGTGTTATGCAAGGATTTAGTGCAGTTTCATAACAATGAACTGCACAAAAAGACCAGATCAGGAGTTATGAATCATTGTACTGGAAATAAAATAAATAGAGGGTAACAATTTTTCCATTACACTTATTTATTAATTGGTAATAGTAGATTTTAATAGCTATATTGTCCTATTAGGTATAAGCAATGGCAAATACATGTGTTAGAATTCATATGTTAAAACCAAACACTGAGCCCTCAGAGTAGTCAGAAACTTGTATTTGTACTTCATTTTCCTAGAAATGCTTACCTATCCATGCTAGATTACAGTGCTACATCAGAATCAGTCCCAGAACTATTGCATGTTACTATATTTTTTAATTAGGTTATCCTACTCAGGCCAGGTAGTATCTGCCAAGATCATTCTTGTATTTGTAAGTAGCATTTTTTTCAGTAATTTAAGTACCATGTTCAGTTGAAATTCACCATCTTTTATTTTGCTTGTTGTGAGAAATTCTGTTATTGCACAGCTGAGTAATATCCACACATCCATTGTTAAAACATCTATTATAAACATTAATTATTTAAGGAAAAAAAATCTGTAGACTGAACTCAGCTATTAAAAATAATTAAAAATGCTTGTAACAAAGAAAAATATAAGCAAAACACAATAAAAATTATAGCCAAAATTTTTACTTGTCTCTGAGTTAAGAAAAAATCTACCCTAACTATCTTTCCATTGTACCACCAAATAATGATTTGGTACCATAAGGTAATTTTTTTATCCATGAGCATTTCCCAGAAGTGACAATAAATATTTGTCCCTGATTAGCAGCTCTTGGAATATTTAATAAATCCTGACGAAAAATGAAGGATTTGGAAAAAAGATAACAAGAAGTGTTGGCATAGAAGATGTCTTACAATTAAACAAGATGCAGAAGAATACTCTAACATATAGCAACTTTCTGCCTTTAAAGGAATAGATGCCAGTAGATGGGAAAGGAATTAAAAGGTAAGCAAATGTGGTACTGAGGATCTCCTTTGCACATCCATCCATCCATCTTTTTCTGTCTCCATCTCTTGCAGCCACCAATGGCAAATAAACAAACAAAAATATGAAGTGAAGAGGGAGTATAATCTTCTCTTACTTGTAGAGGCAGATACGAAACTTTCTTTTGGAAGTATATAACCATCAGAGTTTCATGCAATGCCAGATTTGGTATGAAGAATCTCTGAAGATACTAAAAGAACGCAAATGCAAAAATTACTGTAGTGATGATGTACTTGAAAATATAAAGATTGTACTTTCACATGACACTGAGTCCTGAGGTGGGATTGAGCCCACCATGTTTGCTTCTATGACTCTCTTTTTCACTAAGATCTCTCCAGGCAGAAATAAGAGCACATGGCAAACATACACTCTTCATAAAATGGGGAGTGCAACGTACTGAAAAGAATTAATTCTGTGATATTGAAATTGAATGAAAAATAGGTATTAGAACATGTATACAATATAAAAGGATTTTACCTTCTAGAGACAGAGTTATTCCTCCTGAACACTTGAAAGCTACACGGCATTCCTATTGGCTATGTTTCTGGTGTTCTCTGTATCAAACCACCTCCAAATATACGGTACATGTAGATATAACTGTGAAAAGTCAGTAGCTGTAAAGTATAGCAGTGTTTTCTACAAATAGCTCCAGCATTTCACATTTGTCTTTTTTTTTTTTTTTTTTTTTTTCCAAGGCAATTTTTGAAGATATGTTTCAATGCTCTTTTTTAACTGAAGTAATAAGAAGCTCAGTGTATAATCAATGGATATTAAGATGCTATAATCACAAAAAGAACAAGAGAGTTAGGCAAAGCAGACTAAGATAATAAGAGAGAATAAATAGAAGGCTTACCCATATGCTAGGCTCACCTACAAAAAACACCAGAAGAAGGGATCTCCAGACAAGAACCTTCCCCCCAGTAGCCAGATCTTAAATAAGTCTAGGAGGGGTGGAGCCAGGCTCCACTCCTTCCGGCAGCACAGCTGAATTGCCTTCTGTACTCCTCTGGCTGACTCATGGCTCGTCTTAGGTGATCAATCAGAGGTTCAGGCTGTGACTCAGCAGTTCCCATACACTCAGTAATGAATGTAGAAACATCTATTTGCTAGAATTGACATATTAAATTTATAAGTAAACTTAAAAATAACAGGAAATATGGATCCAAGCTTGAGGCATTTTTACATCTTCAGGCCTTCCTTGGACAACAACCAGAATTTCAGGAATTCTAATGGTTTCATCCTCATCTTGCTATTAGCCATTTAATCTTCTTTGGCAAGAGTTTCTTCTCCACAAGGTTCACACTTCTATTCTGATACTTAATAACTGAGTGCATCACTTTCTTTCAGCTTTTATCTTACACAAAATATTTCCTCATTTTTACCCTTTTTTTTTTCTTCTCATTTATATGTTTGTCCTTATCCTTCTCTATGAACTTCCTCTGTTTGAGTGATCACATTCTCCTTTATTCATTTTCTAGCACTCATCTTTTACTGTAGTGCACTTATTCTGTATATCTAACTTGAGAAACATTTTTGAAAATTGTTCGCTACAAGATCAGCTATTAATGTGTCTGAGAATACAGAGCATTTACCTTCCTTACATCCCTCTGTCTTCAGTGAGACAATGTCTGAAAGTACACTGGAGAATAACTTGTGTCAAGTACATCTGGAGACACTGTATAACATTTAACACATTAGTGAAACAACCCTACTAAAACATATATTGGAGCATGAGGAAATGATGTGCTCCATGTACTTGTGCTTCTCAGTCTGATATGTGGATGATAACAAATATACCCTTGAGGGTATATTTCCACAGGGCAAAAGTACAGACATACACAATGCTGGCATGTTTTCTCTAGTAGCCAGGAAATATTGAAACCATCTGATTTTAAGTCATGTAGCCAATTAATGGAACAACCTTCTGGCAGCTCTCTACTAAAGCAAAGCACTCAATTACTCTACCTCCACCTCAAAGCACTTTGGACTAACAATTGGCATTAATGTTTCTTTCTACCTTTCAAAAAAAATTATAACTTTAATTAGCAGAAAAGGTGAACAATATCTGTGGCTTACATTGATCTTCAGTGTTAGTAAGTCATTTAACGGTCATATATAATAGATGCATATAAAAGCTTTTAGAAGACACAGACCTATTGAACTTATTGTATTTTAAAAATATGACTTTTCTCTACCTTTTATCCTGGACGGGCCTTTAAGGCATTTTTATTCTTCAGTTTTTTAACCAGTAGAAAACATTATTCTGGGAATAAGACTGGTTTATTTAAACTTCAGTGGCCAAAATTTGGCATCCAAATTTTGCTTGAAAGCCACTGTAGCACTGAAGCTGACATTTTAGTGTATTTCCTAATGGCATAGAAAGATTTTTTTCAGCTAGATGACTTTTCATCTCTGTGGATTCATCAAGAGAAAACAATTTTAAAGTGAAGTTAGATAGAGTATCCTTACTGCTTGTAAAACCAATTTTAATTATTTTATTTACTTTTTTATTAAGGTTACCACAAAATACCATGTGGATTGCAATGTTCTTGTTTTGAAACTATAGCTTTCAGTGGCTTGAATAAGGCACAGGATGTTTAAAGAGGAAGCTGCTGCTTCTCATGTATCACTGGTGCTTTCCATGTATCACTATTAAAATATCTTCATTACTTTCCTTCTTTTCTCATGAAAGGATACAACTGAGGATATACTGTACTGTAATCTCAAACACCTGTTAGGAGCAGAGCTCACTCCAACTATTCTGTTCTTTCTGCTTCTCTCTAGTCATAAACAGAGTAGTTCAGAAACTAAATCTTGAAGGACAGAAATATTACTCACACCTGTGCTTAATCAAAAGTATAAATAAATGTCTAATGTTCTTATATTTGACCACATAATGAGAGGATATCAAAAAGTACAACCTATAACCTTTTTGTCTTCTTGAACTGTCACCACAGTGCCATGAATGTCAGATGTTATGTTAATGTGCTTTTCTTCAGTAAACAGTCTCCAGTGGTTAAAATTTTAATACCGTGTGTAGGTGTCAGTATTTTACAGGTGACTGCTGCCATATCATTATTACTGAAATCAATCAGGACAGTTTGCCCATTGATGTAATTCAGCTCTTGATGAGTTCATAGCCAGCAAAAACAAATGGTTCAGGTAGAGCACAAAAAATAAAATTACACTTAGGACTTCTGTGTAACTTTTTGAGTTACAAGATGTCATGTCTAAAACTTTTTGTTCGTATAACAAATTTTGAGAGGAGTTTAAAAAGAAGTAGAACAATTCATCTTGATTATCACTGTGTAAATTTTGAGAGCATGCCAAACCCATTCTAGTGTGAGCAATCAGTGAGCTAAGTGTTACATCATCCAGCCTGCATACACACAAAAAACTGAAAGTAGCAAACAGACTCTTAAGATTAATTCCAAAATAACTTGATGGTAACTAGCCTGTTTTCAATTGCCTATGATAGGTTTTGCATCAAACCCTGGTTCCGTTAAACAAAGATTGTATAATGCTTTATTTTTCTATTATTAGAATTGAAGGACTCCTTTAATAATCTATTATGTAAAATAAATTAATAATTGAAATGATCTGATTTTTCATTATGTAGATAACTTATACAAATTTTTGAATCATTTATGTCTTCTATGTATGTCATAATGATATATGTAGAAAGGGCTTTTTTATTTATGAACTAGGAAATCTTCATTCTATTTATGAACTCAGTAATATTCAGCAATAGTAGTTATATAAATATCTGAGTTTTTAGACTTTGCAGCTATTCAAAAAATAAGTGCTATTGTAAAAGCTATTTAGTATAGTCTTTATAGTGATTGTTGCTGTAAGACAAATACTTAAAAGAGAAGAAGGGATAGATAATGTGCAGTGAGATCTTCATATATAGATGGGCTCACTATGCATTAATAGAAATTAATATATCATATTTCTGTAATTCTACCTGTGTATCAAGACGAAGGAAAAACAAGTCTAAAGTACGTTCATTTCAAAGTAGTATTTCATACCTTCAAAAATTCATTTAAGCTTTTTGCATTTTTTATTTTCTAATATATTTAATGAGTCGTTCCAGTTGCTGCCATTGCTATGCTATAAGGTTCATGCATTAAATCTTTAACATACCACACCTTCTCTCTGTAGATACATACATATATATGATGTATACATTTTATATAGAAGCATTTAAGTGTGACATAAGTTGGTCATATGCCATAATAAAGACAAAGAAAAATGTGGTGTTAACCTCTTAATTCCAGTAGTTATTAAGAACATTTTAGTTTTAATTTTAATGAGAGAATGAATAAGCATAAAAGTACTTCTAAGACTGAAAAGTGAATCCCATTCAAAATTAAAAAAAAAACAAACCACCAAAACAGTTTTAACTAAAGTATTAGGTTTAAAAGTAGACAAAATAAAATTACCTGCATGAAAATAACACAAGTTCTCTCTTGTATTTTTTATTTCTGTGGGTGATAGCCATACAGCACTGAGTGCTAAATACTATTTATAATATACTAGGCAAATTAATGAAGTGGGACATATTTGGGAAATATTCTTAGCAAGTGAATAGTATATATTCAGGATAGATAGATACAAAAGCAGTAGCAGAGTATAAAATTTTAATTAGCACTCATTTTGAGATAATTGTATGCACTGTAAATTTAAGTCGTAATGGAGTTCCACCTCTTTCAAAGTGGATGAAATCAGGAATGGAGTGGTGAGCAGGACTAGGGAGGAAATCTTGCCTCTGTACTCGGCATTGGTGAAACCTCACTGCGAGTACTGTGTTCAGTTTTGGGCACCTCAATACAAAAAGGACATGGAGGTGCTGGAGCAAGTCCAAAGAAGGGCAACAAGGCTTGTGAAGGGCTTGGAGAATATGCCCTATGAGGAGTGACTGAAGGAACTGGGGCTGTTTAGTATGGGGAAGAGGAGGTTGAGAGGAGACCTTATTGCTCGTTTCCAATACCTGAAAGGTGCTTACAGAAAGAGCAGGGTTGGTCTCTTTTCACTGGTGACAGGTGACAGGATGAGGTGAAATGGCTTCAAGTTGTGCTGGGGTAAGTTTGGGATGGATATCAGGAAAAACTTCTTTACAGAAAGGGTTGTTAAGCACAGGACTAGGCTCCCCAGGGAGGTGGAGGAGTCACCATCCCTGGGTGTGTTTTAAAAACCATTTGGATGTGGTGCTCAGGGACAGAGGGTTGTTAATTAGGGTAGTATGGTTAGGTTATGGTTGGACTGTTAGGTTGGATGGTCTTTAATGTGTTTTCCAAACTGAGCAATTCTATGATTCTATGATTCTACCATACAAAACTGCTATGTATTTTCATATACTTTTTATTTTCTGGAAAATATTTCTAGAATTTTTTCAAAGTGTTTCAAATGTTTTTATTTTATTTTACTTTATTTGGATTTTCATATATACATCATTTCAATTAGATCTAACTTAACAGACCTTGGAGACAGAGGAAACAGCTAATAAAACTTCAGAAAGATTGAAAAATTCTCTGAGAAATTCTGTCAAATTCTGTGTCTATACACACAATTATATGATCCTTCCACCTGCTCCTTGCCCTCATTTTCCAATTTCCTTCTTCACTTCTTTATCAGTTTTGAGGAAACAGATCCATACTGGGTCTTTTTGCTGATCCAATATATAACACTGACTATTCTGCACCACTTTAAACAAAATGGAGGAGATATTTGACTGCTGTCTTTAAAAATGTGGAACGTTACTAACATTTGCACATAGAAATGGTGTTTGAAGTAGCTCAAGAAAGAAGGGTTTTAGTTAATCGAATGTAAATCAGATGATCAGACAGAAGAGATAAGTCCACTTCATTTTGTGATCCCATTTACTGTTACCT